AGGGAAGGTGTAAACAGAGAGTAATTGAATGAAAGAGGACCCTGAAAAGGCAGGAGTGGATGGTACTAGGAGACTAGGTGAAAGGATTTGCTTTCTTTAAGGGAAACATTTTCTTCTCCAAATAAAAGGAAACAAGGTTCATATACTTGACTGAGCAAAATGATGGCTTCTATTTTCTGCAAGGGGAGAGGTCATTTGTAGAGGAAGAGAGAATTCCTCTTTTCTACAAATACCATTTGCTACTTGTGCATTGGGATTGAGCTATTTAAAAAATAGCTCAGACCAGTCTGCAAGGAACTCTAATAATATTTTATGTTGAATACTTAGAAACAAAACCCATAAGATTCAGTAAGAAAAACTAACCTTGCTGCAAGGAAAACTTTCCTACTAAATACGTATATGTAAGTTTCAGATTATTCTTCATTAACTTCATTCATTCCACTTTTCTTATGGTCTTAATTCCAACTGTCCCTCTTTCTTTCCAAAATTAATCCCTTCACTTGTTATCCTGATCCCATTCTTTCTCTTCTGGGCTCTTATCTCTTCTTCCTTGAATCTTTGATTATTATATATTGGTTACTTGCTTCCTGCCCCTCAACACGTCTTGCATTCTATAAAACGAACCCAAACCCTTTTCTCCACCTTGCCACTCTCGGTAATCTTTTTTTATGTAGCAAATGATGAAGTTACCAGTCTTACACTTAGTCTTTCCACAGTCACTGACTCTATTAAAGCAGCTCTCTCAAATGTCTTAATGAATTCTGAATTATCAAATCCGACGACCCATTCTCAGACTTCAACTTCCTCCTTGGAAGGAGGAAGGTCCAAGTTGATCCATGGAACATTTTATGCCACTGATAACTTTCCCCCAAACAAAACAAATACTTCTTACCCTTTTAAATGAAACTTCACCTGTTTTGATTATCATCTTTAAAGTTTTACCGGCTTAATTCTCATGCTTTTTTTTTTTTTTTTAAATCTTTCTACCATCTACACAGAAACCACTGTTTTAAATTCGATAAATCCAAACTTCACAAAATTCCTTAACCTAAGTCAGGGCTCCGAATTTCATGGTAGAACTATCTCATTAATCAGTAGGCTGTAGGCTTCAGATTCAAACAAATTCACCAAATCCAACCAGCCACATCGGACATTGCTTTTCCATATTCACCGGTACCTTCACAGTTTAGATCCCTGTCACCCTCTTCTGAACTGTTTTAACACCCTCCTCACTGTATTCTCCACCCCACGTTCTTACAAGCGCTATCCTCACAGGACGTTCGCTCAGGTCCATGGGGGCTTGTCTTCCAAAGAGGAAGCCTAGGGCTCAGATTCCAGTCATCGGTACCCTAGTTCAATATGGATAACGAGACCTTTTCCCTGCGCCAAGTAAAGAAACCCCATGAGCTTGATCTCTGGGGCCCCGGGGTCTGAGAACACCAGGTTGCAGGTGCACGGATCCCTTCCGGCCCTGCTGGCAAGAAAGACCGGAAGGCCGGGAGAGGGGGACAAGCGCGGACCCGATCCATAGCACGAGAGACAGTCATAGAGCCTGGGCCGGAGTCTAGAGCACTAGTTAGTTATTCAGCCTATTCCCCACTTTTCGAGTGTCCCCAGATTTCCCGCCCCTCGTACTCACCCCAACACCTATGCGGGTCAGCGATTCGGTGCCGGGTCCTCTCCGGACCGAAGCTGAAGCAGCAGAGAAGGCCGTGAGGACCCCGCAATTGGAGTGCCCAGGAGTTTGCCTGATTAACAGCTTCAAAGACACCCGTTAGTTCTACAGTATTAGAAAGATTAAATAAGCAGGAAGACGTTAAATGAGAGGAAAGATGGCTCTTGAAACTTAGGATCTAAAGCTTCTAGATCACTCAGGACCTAGAAGAATGGTGGCTTCCCACAGTCTGGATTCAGGCGCTAATCTGTAGCCTCACTCAGTCTGGGGTCCCCTAGTGGGTAGGCGGGGTTGGGAAAGGGGTGGGGCATTAGCTAGCACCGGGTGGCGCCAATGGTTGTAGGAGAAAGAGACACAGGGTGGGCGGAGTCTGAAGAGGTGGGATTTGGAGAGAAGGAGGCGGTGCCGGGACGCAGGGGGAGGGACTAGAGGGTAGTGGGCGGGCTTAGGCTTTAGAGCCAGAGTAGGGTGGCGCGTGAAGATGGCAGCTGCTGACGGGGAACCGAAGCCCAAAAAGCTGAAGGTGGAGGCGCCACAGGCGCTGAGGTGAGCGCTGCCCGACATGGGGAGGAGGGTGACGGCACCTGCTGCAAGCCTGAGCCCATGTTGGTTTGAGCGGCTCCCGCGCTGCAACCACAGCCCGCGTGGGGCCAACATGCAGGACCTGCCACTCAGGCACCTGCTGGCGTGGCGGTGACCCCTTGCTAGGACCTCTCTGGCGGAGTCGCCGCCTGCCTTGGTGCAGCCTTAGCCCCAGCAGCCTTCGGCCAATCAGAGCAGCCCGCCCGAGGGTTGAGCCAGCTGCGGTCAAGCGGCTGGCGCCACGTGCTTGCTTTCCCGGGCTGTGTTGATATGATCCGGTAGGACCCGACTGGAGCCGAGTCTCTAACCCGTCACTTTCTCCTCCCTGGGGGATAGCGTGGAGGAGGTCTTGTCCCTGCTTTACCATGGGGCAAAGACGCAGTTCTTGGGGCTATTTTGGAAAGTGTCGCAGAAGGGCACCTTGACCTTTCATACACATTCTGAAAGCTTACACCTTTGAAGACTCCACCAGGGAGGGATTCAAATCTCGCCTCCGAGGCTTTGAGGGGGAAAATTTAGCTGAATAGATAAGAAAGATTGATTTGTCTTTTTTATTTGCACTTTCTTTAACAGCAGTGGAGACGGTTCAACCCCTAACACCTGACTCACCCGTGATTGATGTTGCAACTTTTACTTATAAAAGTCATTTGTTAAAATATTTCTTCCTAATAAGTGTGTTGATTTTGAGAATGTTCGTTGGAAGGCAAACATTTTTCTTTCTAAAAATAGACATTCAACTGATTAAAAAAAAACTATTGGGCCAGTCCTGATTATACAAGACAAATCGTGTTTCTTTTAGCATC